ATGCTCTCGCCGAAGCGGAAGCTAGTAAGGAGAAGCACTGTCCACAGGGACTGAGGCAGGCCCCACGGAGCATGACAGGCAGAGAGCCTTTCAGACAAAGCCAATAGGTAACGCCGGTGCCTGATGGACTGTCAATTCCAACAGAGAGTCTGAGTTCAACCCTATTTCAGGGCAAGGCCACATCACAAGGGACTGCTGGGCAGAGGTGGCCACTTTTGTGCTACGAGCTCCTCCCACCAGCCGTGAATGAGCTGTGGGGACGCGTCACTCTGATCAGCCTGTAAACACAACTGACATACTGGTTCACCATCCCCAGACTGCAAAGCAGCACTCATCACAAGACTACTCAGGTCCAGACTCAAATCAGCATGAGCAGTAAGTACTCCAAAGGCCCTTCAAGTTCCCAGAGTCTGTCTCGACCCTCTCCCAAAGCAGCAACCAACACCCCCATCAAGTTATGTGGTCAGGCTGCAGAAGTTCATCTACAGCAAAGGCTAGAGCTCGCTGTCCAAGAGAACCTTCAGCCATGATGGGAACGTCCTGCACCTGCGCTGTCCAATATGGCAGTCATCAGACACACCCGCTATCTAACCACAGACCAAGGTAAAATAAAACGTAGCACCCAGCTCCTCAGTTGGGGACCACACTTCAGGGCTAACACCCACCCAGGCGGCAGCTGCCTGTGAAGACAGGGCAGCCGAGGCCAAGGCTTCTCTAACCCCCGCGGGCCCCCAGTGGTGCTTTGAGGGCTCCCTGGGGAAGGACAGAGGAAACTCACCAGGCAGGACTTCCGCAGCTGCCTTCTCCCTCCAGAGTGCCCCTCCTGCCACCTGTTTTGCATCTTGGAACTCTGCACATTTATCCCGAAAGGCTTCCTGGCGGCTGCGCACAGGTGACACATGCTAGAAATCTGAGCACTGCTGGCAGAAACGGCCAGCACTCAAACCAGACCAAAGCTGGACCTCCTGGCACAAGAAAAGAACTGGCGGCCAGCATGAAGGACAGCCACCTCTGTGGAGGGAGTGCAGGAGTCGGTCTCAACACTCACAGCCACAGCCGTGGCACCTCTGGTCAACAACAAGCCTCACCAGCTCACCCAGGCCGAGGAGAGCTCTGTGCAGCCTGTGTCAGGAGCTCACCTGAGACACTGCAAGTCAGGTTCCCCACACCGTGAAATGACAGCCGCCATCAAGAAGGAGTGTCTCGTACTCACCAGACCCTAGCCATCACCTCCAGCAGGCTTCTGGAAAGAACTGAAGCCAAACATGAAGGACAAGCACACCCTGCCACAAGGGCAAATCACGGGAGCATAGTCCATTCCACTACTGCCGCAGACCTGGAGCCTTTTTGACTTGAGGGACTCAAGGTAGTGAACACATGGACTTCCGCGAGGTCCCCCAAGACTCTTCTTTCTTCCTAACTGAATAAACCACACTGGAAACCAATCCCCTCACCCCGCCCCCGCCCAGATGGAGGAAGGCAGGGCACAGCAGAGGACTCAAGGACAGGCAGGTTTTCACATGCAAACAAGACTCTTCAGGGCAATGGAATCCCAGATTTTGAAAAATGACGGAGCAACCTGAGAAAATTAGTGACAGCCTCACAGGAAATTCACAAATTTTAATGAGAATGGATCACTTTAGGATTCCCATCTTCTGAAAAACACAAAGCTAAAGCTACTTCAAGTCTGTGTCCTATCAAAGAGGCTGGATCACAAATAAGAGGAACCCGCTAAACTAGGAGAAACACTCCAGAAAGAGAGGCGAGCTCACAGTCAGAATTGCCCTAACATTTCTGGCTACCTGATGTAGCCAGAGGCACTGTCTAAACACACCTGGCTTGGACAAATGACATTCTCCCTACGTGAAATTGGCGAACTGAAGCTGAGAGCTATCACTGAGATGGGAATCTGGAATCAGCATTGAAAAATGCCATGTGAAACACATCACCATTACACCAATCTGAAAAAATGATCAAAATTCATCAGTGAAACACGATAAGCCTCTAACTGTGCATTTGTAAATAAGAAAGGTTGGATTACCTTTGTACTACTGCTAAAAAACAGCCCTATTTGTCACAGCCAAGGCTGCATACCACGAGGTGACCAATCCTTACCTGATGGAGTGGATGGCTTAGAAAGCAGCCCCAGGTGAGAAGGAAAAAGAGCCCTGAGAATCACCAAAGCCTGTCCTGGAGAGCAGTCACAATGGAGGCGTCAAGATGCCCTCAGAGACTGGCCAACCCTTGCTCTGTCCTGGAAATCTCCAACTCAATCTCAAAGCCTGAAATAAAAGTTTTCTGCATGGCACTCTGCAGACTGACCCCCAAAATGAGTTCCTCTGAAAGAAAAAAAAAGTGTGGCCCAGTCTTCATGCAGGCGGGCATGAGGGCTGCTCGGTGTGGAATCATGCTCCCTGGATGGTGAGTCGGGGAACACCCTGGTCACACACAGCAGATACTGAGGTCCCTCAGGAAGGAGCACTCCACCCTTCCCGAGTGTCTGTCATTGCCTGCACAACACGCTCACATATGTGCTGGAGATTTCTACACCCTGAAAAGCTTTTCCCAAACACGATTTAAGCTCACTGGTGGACATGCACTGCTGGGCTCCCAGACCAGTCCTGCGCGGAATGGCCTCGGAAGCTCTGGACAGGCTGTGGATATTTGTCTTGGGTCCTGCAGATGATCCCACCATCCTCTTCAGCTGTTATCAGCTATTCCTAACAATAGACAGTAACAGCTTCACGACCTCCGACCCACCCTGCCACACCCTGCCACACCCCCACAACCCTTCGCACACACAGTCTACTTGATTCCAATCTACTGTGTGTTTAGAAGCCAGAACATTCTATGTGTTAGAAACACTTTCAATAATGCTAGCAGGCCCTGACAGGGTCTCAAGGCTCTCTGTGCTTCAGGTATGGACTGGGCGCTCTGGTTGCCATGCCTCTGATGCTCAGCGTCTGCTAGGAGGACAGGGTAGGCAAACTTCCTGGGTGAGGAGCCCAGACAAAAGCCATGGCTGGAGAGAAGAAGAGATCATCTCAGGTGACATTCTGGGTACCCGAATCCCCAGCAGACTAAGACAGAGGGGTTATTACCTCTATTTCCGTCATAAGCAGCAACTCGCCCCATGTTGTAACTGAGAAACTGGATACTAGTCTGAGGCTCTGACCCTGAATGAAACCCAGGCTGCCTCTCCACGACGCAAGGTACTGCCCAGGCCGTATTCTCCGTCTGACTAGTTGTTTCTACACTCGATTCCTGGTCCTTCCACTGGACCCTGACTGGCCCAAGTTTGCTTCCTCTCCTTGCCCAGTTTCCGTAACTGAATGGCAATGGAGAACCCGACCAAGGCCACATGGAGCCCAGCTCTGCAGTGTGCCACTGCTCAGCAGCAAGCGTGCTTCTCAGAGGCTGACACGGCTTCTGTGTGTACAGATGGCAAAATGAGTGCCAAGCTCCCCCAGCGCACAGTTCCCAGTGACACCAGGTTCACACACCTGCCAGGGGATGCCCTCTACAGGACAGGAGCAATGGCAGCCGAGGGGGGGCGCGCCTCAGGCCGCTGGGGGATGAGCACAGCATCCCCTTTCACTCTCCACCCAGAGAGGCAGGTGGGGGCAGGAGGTCCACTCTTAATTCCATCAGGAAGGGGTGCTCGTTTGCTGTTAGTTACTTCATTGCCTAATGCAGAGCCTGACACACAGAAAAAGCTGCTTGCTACATAAATGAGCAAATGTTCCTTGCTCAGTAAATACAAGGTATCTGTTGCACAGACTCCTGACTCTCCTGAAACTGGCGGGATTCATTCCCCTTCACATTTGCTGGCTTGCCTTTGCAAGACTTACAGCAAACACTTTTCCCCCTACAGAGACAAAGGGCCTGAAAACAGCTCCTCCACTCCCATCAAAAGACCTGCAGCCTTAACTGAAAGACAAGCCTCTCCTCTCAAACTGTCCCAAGTCCCTATCTGCTGGATGGCACACACACAGCTTTCCCGGGCATCACAAAAGGCCTGGATAGAAGAGTGGCTGCAGAACCAGGCTTGTGGAGTCCTAGGGCATAAAGCCAACAAAACCAGAACTGATAAGGAACACCCGCAGACCCGAAAACTGGCCAGGTGCAAAAATGTAGGAACATGACAGGTCTCTGGCCGGCAGTTTATGCAGTTAAATGGATGTGTTTTCTTTCCACACACACATATTCCCCCAAACGTCAGTAAGATTACAGCAACATAATTTTAGCATTTACATACGAAAAAGAAAAGGGGCCACCCTCTTGCCACCTGAAGTAGAAAGCACCTTTGTCCCTGTGAAAGAGAACTTCTGCTGAGATACACGGAACTTCTGCTGAGATACACAACACCCCAACACTCCTTGGTAAGAGTAAAAGCACATACCAGGACTGACAAGCCACAGACAACAGGAAGTCACCAGCACAGCTTAAGAGACTTGATTTTGCGACCCTCACAGACTGCGCAGATTTGCCCACTTGTGACTAGGTGCGGGTAACAACACCGAGAACCCAAAATCTGATCCTCTACGGTGAGAAGCCACTTTAGAAGGCGCAGCACGGAAATGCACGAGCACAATCTCACTAAAACAAGCCCAGAAACGACTGCTTCCCACTACCTTACATCAATTAAACCCAGCTCACGAGCTGCCCTAAGCGCAAGCCCAGCAGAGTTCAACACCCAGGTGCCAGTGCGTGGCCCCCGCAGAAAGCCCAAGCACACGACCTGTTTACGCTCACCCCCACGGCTCTGATGGCAATGACCAAGACGTTCAGGGCCTCAGCAGGATCACTCCGAACGAGACACAAACGCTTGCTAAGTCACCCTGGGCTAAGAAAATTCTGTAAGTATTTCGCAGGGGTGTTTTGAAGGCAAAAGAAAAAAGCCGACTAGACACGTGGACGAAGCGCATTCTCAGTCACCCCGGGGTCCAGTGCTTCGCTAACTCGCGAATTAAAACTGCTCAGCTATCTGACTTACCCACCTCCCTGTAAGATGGACAGCTGGCTACATGGGGTCAGAGGGACGAGCAGATATACGTCCTGCACCGTAATGAGCAACGCACTCTCCTCCTAGGCCCAAGGAAAGCGTCCTCCTCGCAGCGACAGCCCGCTCGGTCCACAGGAGAGCAGAAGCGGGGAGGAACGCCGGACACGAACTCCGCTGCGGGCCGCTTCTGGATAGAGGGGGTCGCTCCGAGTAATCTACGGGCAAGGGCGCGACTTACGTCGCCCGGAAAGTTTCAACCCGGACCCAGGCTGCTCCGGGCGTCGCGCGAGACGGACCCGGCCGCCGGCACCTCGCGGG